TCCAAGCTAAACAAGCCCAGTTCCCTCACCCTTTCCTCATAGGAGAGCTGCTCCAGCCCTCTGACCTTCTTAGTGGTCTTGTTCCAAGCTGGTGGGAGCTGGGTGGATGGTGAGGCAGCTGACAGGAGAGGCTCTGTTGGCTTCTCAGTTGTCTGAGTGCAGCTATCCCAGCAATGCAGATGTATTTAACTAGAGAGCAGCTAACACTTTGGCATTTGCTGTTTGCTTCTCTGCATCTCTGTCTGGGTCTCTTTGGTTGCATCAGAAGCATTCATTCGTGCCTGATTTGTATTGATGCACTCAGCAGCTCTGTGTGTGCATTGTGTTTTACATTGATCCTCTCCCACAGTTAATGACTTTGTAATTAATGGCCTGGGTGTCTGATGCTAGGAGTCAGAGAGACAGGCAGGTAATTTGTCCACCCTAAGTGCTCTTGGCTGCCTTGCTTATGAAGTTGGTTGCCTGCAGCTAGCCCCTCTTTGCCCTCTATCTGGTCAGGTGGCACATTTTTCTGTTTCATTCCCAACCACAAGTTTCTATGGATGTGGACTGAACCCTTTGTGCATATAAACAAAATAAAGCCAAGCTTATGGGAAGTGGCTGGAAACCCCCTGGGTGGTTTGTTTGGGGTTAGCACCTTGCTTTTCATCTGCTCTGACAGGAGTGGACAAGGGGCATTTAGGAAACACCTTTCCTATTGTACCCAGGATCAAAGTGACCCCATTTGTCCAGGCTCTCTGCACTGCCTCTGCTTCCTGGCTCCTGGACAAGGCACAGCATGCTCTGTGCCCACACCTGGCTGCCCCTGATGCTGCTTTTGGATCTGCTTATTTGTTTTTCATCAGCAGATGATAAGCTGGCAGACACGGAGGTTGGGAAGATCAGGAGGTGTTTGCACAGGGGGAGGAGAGTGGGGACATTTTTGATGATATCAGCAGGATGGAGAGGAGGTGGAAAAGGTAACAGAGTCTCATCTGGCCCAGTGCTCAAATGAGCATTGGAGAGAGACTGTGCAGTGTGAGTTCTGGGGCTTCCAAAAGCTGCTCAGGAAGATTTCTGTCTGAAGCAAATGGATTTAGGCAAGTTCCCATGCAGATCAGGGTGCAATCGCAGAGTTTAGGAATACGTGTGGTGGGTTAGCTTATGAACACAGCTCCACAAACTCCTTTGCAGGTTCTGGATGCCCTGAATGCCTCAATGGACCTCATAGTGTGCTGTGTGGGTGCAGATCTGGCAGCGCAGACCCAAAGGAGAAATAACAGCTCTTTGTGAACAGCATTTACAAAGCTTCCCTGCTCTGGGAGAGGCATTTTTCGTAAGATAGAAGGGAGCAATTGAAATAAGGAGCGTCATAACTCGTCCACAGCCAGCAGTGAGAATCAGGAGTGTAACCCCTGAGCTGTGCCTTCTCCTTGGACGCTCTGCTAGTGCTAGATCTGCAATGGTGCCTTTCAGACTGTATGCAGACACCCATGAGCTGGGCCACGATGGGATGCAAGTTTGATAGCTGCACAGGCAGAGCAGCGGTGTGAAGGTCAGTGGCTGCCATAAGGGAAGCACGAGTGGGCACGTGCTGGGTGCAGCTGTGGGGATGCTCCTGGCCTTAGCATGCTCCTTGCTGCCTTATTTTTTGGCCTATCAGCTGCACTTGGCTCAGGAAATGTCTCAAGTGAATACATTTTTTTTTGTATATGCAGCACGTGCCTCTGTCTGTTCTCCCCACAAGGGAGACAGGGTGATACCCTCCCCCCCTTCCTTGCTGAGTTCTCTAGCTGTCTGTGTTCCTTCTCCTCGCCATTTAGGCAAGTTAAAAATAATTATGGTTAACTGCTTTCTGCAATAGAAGATTACTGCACTATTAAAACTGGAGCGGACACGACTGGGGTGCCAATGAACGTTCTCAGAGGAAGGGTCTGAACATGCAGCGCATGGACCGAAATAGGGCCCTCCTGCTGGAAGGCCCCAGGTGACCCATTGCTCACTGGCGCAATTACCAGAGTCTTGGCAGCTGGCAAGATCAGCAAATGGGGTTTCTGTCAGAGCTTGTTACCTTAATTTGGTTAATTGTAGAGCAGAGTGCGGTTGAGCAGCCAGTTCAAACCAGGTTTCAGAGCACCAGGGTGCCAGGCACGGGCAGGGCACTGCCTGCTCCCAGCAGCTGGCGGTGGGATGGAATGGATGCAGGAGCTGAGGGGATGAGGAGAGCACACCCCTGCCTGCAGCCTGGGATGGGTTTGCTCACAAAGCCCTTGCACAGCCGTTGCCATGCTTGGCAGTCTCAGCTGCAAATTTGTACCCGTTGATTTGATCCCAGGTCTGCCTAGAGGCTTGAGTTGTGCACGTTTGGGCTGGAAAGGGCAAGATGGAGTGTCTGTCTGGAGCAGAAGTTCATCCCTCTGTTTTGAACAGCAGGGTGGGAAAGTGTCTGTGATAGAGGAAGGAGGTGGTGAGCTGCACCACCCAGCCCAGTATCCCCAGTCTCCAGCCATGGCCCAAGAGCAGTCACCTGTGGGTGAACCTAAGAACATGGAGGCCCTTCCTGGCACCTTTTTCAGCCTCCAGATCTTCTGCAGCAAATGTAGATTGATGGATTTCTCTTCCAAGAGTGAGTCTAACAGCTGCTTGAACCTCTGACTAATTGGTGATGGGGTGGCTCTGTTAGCAAAGTCAGCTCTGGGTGGGTGCAGTCGGAGCTCACCTGCTGTCTTTTAAAGCTTAGCCCACCTAGAAAGACAGCTGGCATCCCTTTCTGGCAGTCTATGGTTGGGTGGTTTGTTTCACCCCAAGATGTGGTGCTGGCTGTGTCTGTGATCACGCTGCTATGAGGCACAAGTCATTTACTATCTCTGGCAGGGCAGGATGGAGCTTTGAAAGGACAGCTCTGAGCTGAGATGTCATCTTCAGAGTGGGCTTGTTCAGAAGCCCAGGAATAAACCTGCCATTCCCTGCTGCTTCGTGATGCTGCATTCAGCTGTGCTCTTCTCCCTTCTGGGCAGCTGTGCCAGCTCAGCCCTTCCCTGATGGCACCACACACAGCCTGGGGAGGCTGGGGAGACACAGAGTGAAACCTGCAGGTGTGACAGAAGAGCAAATGTGAGAACAGAAGGTCAGCAGGTCTTTGGGAGCAGACATCCCGAGGGCTGTTTGAAATGCCCACAGAGCTCTCCTACACCATCAGCATGTGATTCCAGCAACTAATTAAAATCCCTGTTAACGAAAACTGTAGCTTATTCCCATAACAAAAGACCTGGAAAGAACTAGGCTGGTAATTATTCAGGAGGTGCTGAAAATAAACTAAGGAGAGCTGAGGCTGTGGGATGGAAGGAGCAGAATGTGATGCCATGCACACCCACCTCAGCTCCATTGTTCAGAGCCAGGCCAGGGCATTAATGCTACATTAAGATGATGTGACTGAACTCATAAGCCAGGAATTAAGGTTAAACTTTGCAGCATTGCATCAGTCTGCGTTTCCACACAGCTCTCCTGTTTCAGTTCCTCGTTTCATTCAGGAACAGGCAGCTGGGCCCTGCTTTGTAGCCTCCGTCAGCTTGGTTAATTGTAATTATTGTTGGCTGATGCTAGAACAAGTCACAGCACTGCCTGATCTCTTTGCTTCCTTCTTTTCCTCTGCCCCCCTGCCCTGCTTTTGTACTTGTTTTTGTAATGCTGCTCCCAGCAGCAGATGTGTAGCAAAAGAGGGTGCTGAGCTCTGGGTGGGACTCAGCAGGAGGGAGAAATGGGCAATGGCTGGGATGGAAAGGATGGAGCAAGGGATGCAATGCTCCCTCATGTAGGACAGCTCTGTGTCACAGCTTCACATCACTGGCATGGGTTTGGAGCAGTCTCTAGCAACATGCCACAAAGGGAAGCACCCCCAGCAGACCAGAGCCTGGCCCTTTCTCTCTGCTGGGAACGTAGTGCTGTATGTTTAAAGGTCCCTGAAGGCATCCTTGTTTTATCTGCCCTCACAAATGGAGCTATTGGTGGCACTTCCAGTGTGAAACTTCCCAGTGTAAGGGGGGGAAGAAAATACTGCAAGAGTTAAAAAAAAAACACCTCGTGTTGTTTGTACCCTGTTTTTTCCCCACCTGCAGGGCTGGGCACCCCGTGCTGAGAGCAGAAGAGATAAGCTGCAGGCGCTGCTGACTGCCACGTGATGCAGTGGCTTGGGCGATTAGCAAAGATCTGTGCCCTAAGAGGAATCACATGGGCTGATGGGGGCTCCCTGTGTGCAGCCAGGGCTCTGTGGCTGCAGTCTGGATGCAGTTTATGGTGCTGAGCCCTGCTTGCTCCCCTTCCTTCCTCACTGAGGGCACCAAAGGGAGCGTGACTTCGCCAACGGGGCAAGCACGGAGCCTCCACATCAAAAGGCAGGGAACAAAACAGCTGCAGAGTGTTGTGAAGCAAAATAAATAAACCCTTGGCTGCACTGGGGGAGTTGTGACCAAGTATACAATCGAGTCCTCTATTAATGGCTTCTTGTTTCAAAAGCCAGCTCCATAACAGGAACTCTGGATCCTCGAGCCCTAAAGGAGCTAACTTCTGATATTCAAGCCCTAAAAAAGCTAACTTCCCACAATCAAAGCCATTGCCACAACCCTCTGCTTTATCAGGTGGAACTGGAGGAAATCCTGGGGTTTTTATCGAACGAAAGCAGCCTTCAGTTGAGAGAACAATGCAACCATGTCTGTTTGCTTAGCATCTTCCAGCAGGAAGGCCCCCAGAGTGTTTTCTTCATGGGGAGATAGCTGGGAGATTACCTTGGTGATAGCACGTTGTTGTGTGAGAAAGTCTGACTGCTTGCTAATGGCCTGCTGCTCAACAGGGCAGATCTGGGCCCGATTATTTGGTGCATTACCCCAACTGAATCAAGCACTGTAAAACTGGAGGAGTCAGCGCAATCTGAGTGGGTACAGGTGCTCTCCAACACAGCACCAGAGTGCATCAGTGTGATCATCGGGTGTCTGGCATCAATCCTTTCCTCTTGTTTTCCTCTGTAGGTGATGTGACGAGCCTGACTCCTGAGCACTCCTTTGAAAACACAAAAGTGGGTGTGGGGAACATCGTGCTGGCCTTGTACAGTGGTCTTTTTGCCTATGGAGGATGGTAAGACGCAGCCCTCTTCCTTTTCTTAGTGTTAAATACTCCAGTTTGTTCCACTTGTCCCTAGGCTGTGTTTGCAGGAGCATCATCCAGGACCTTCCCACTCTCTGTTGTTACCAGGGCAGTGAGGCAGATGGATGCTCTGGGTTCCCCTAGTAATGTTAGTAGTTGTTCTTCACGTGCAATTTCCAGCCACTTTACTGCAGCAGAAAGGCAGCAGATGATGGATTGTTTGAGTTCTGTCCTGAGAAGAAAGCAGGAGGGTGGAATCCCTTAGCAGACACCGACTGCATGCTAACAGATGAGTTTAGGTATGGCAAAGCGGGGAGACTGCCGTGTCCATCCGTGGCAGCACCAAACTCCTGGAGGACATCACTGTCAGCCCCTTTGAGCACCGAGCAGCCCAAGGAGCTGCTCAAATTGCAGTGAAAGCCATCACGCTGCCCAGAGGCTGACCCTGCCACCAGCCCTGAGCCTGCAGCCAGCTCTCCTTTCCTCTTGCAGGGCAGCTGGCAGCATGGTGCAAATTACAGCAGCCAGGGCTTGCATTTCTGCAGGTTTGCAACTAGGCATCACCCACTGCCAGTTTTACAGCAAGATCTGGATTCTGTCCCACCTAAAACTCCCTTGTAGACAGATAGGGGTGAAGGGCTTTATTTACTAACCTGAGTTCATTGCTGTTCTTTTCACATTACAGGAATTACTTGAATTTTGTTACAGAAGAGATGATAAATCCCTACAGGTGGGTGACTTCCCTGGGAGGGAAACTTCGTGCCTGTCCCTGTTATGTGTCATTATGGGTTGTTCATCAGCCCAGAAGCTTAAGTCCCTCTTTCTGGGGAAACAGGCTAATGGCATTGTTCTGCCTTGGATTAAGGGAAGGGGAATTATAATCTCTGTCTGAGAAGGGCTGTTGCTTACACTGGATTCCCGTGCTGCTGATACTATCTGCGTTGTTGGAGAGTCCTATTTCCTTGGCATGGCACCTCTCTGAATTATAGGCAAGGAAGAGGCACTTACAGCTTTATTGCTTTATTGTGTAAACTCCCACAACAATGTGCAGGCATGCATTTGTCATGTGCTCTTCCTGTTCTGTCGAGAGCAACGGGCTGCTTTCTGCACTGCTCGTGCCATTCAGGGCAGTGCCAAGGGAGCTGGAGAGGTGAGGATGGGCTGCACCAAAGCAGAGCATCGCTGATAGATCCATTCTGCCTGTAGGGAAGGTGCAGCCCTCCCATCAGCATAGGCTTTGGGATCGGAGCCCGCTCCTGACTGGCCCCAGTGGAGATTAGTGCCTGCTGGGAGCTAAGATTGGTGTGCTCTTTTCTTGACTAACGCAGTTACAGGAAGTTTTTGCAGTCTGCAGTTATTTTCTTGTCTTCTGGATGCAGCCATGGCATTTGAGTTTCGCCACCTGTGACTTTGGACCAATTATGTAGGGAAATCAAGCAGGGTTTCCTCTTTCAGTTTCTGCTCACAGATGAGGTTAGGCTGCTGGGAAAGGCACGTTTGTACCAACGCAGCCTCAATCTTGCAGCTCCACTCAACCCGTGGCTGAACTCATTTTCTCTGAGTTCAACCAGCTGCATAGAATTAGAGCTTAAAAACAGCCAACTCAACCCCTGCTCTTTTCATCCCCCACAAAAAAAGCCACCAGCACAAATGCACATCCGTTGTCCAAAGAGGATGACTGTGCTGATGCTACTAGCTACCAAGAGCCGTGAGGTTTTAGTTTTACTTGATTGCCGTGATGGTGACCGTGGATTACTGCCTGCCCAGACAGCCAGAGTCTCCCTCTGTAAGAAAACCCCCTTCTGCCATCATCCTTCACTCTGTCAGCACCAGGCTGTTCCCATTTTCTGGAGGAAAGCAGTGTGACTGAGATACTGTGTATGCTGGAGAGCCACGGAGGAGCAGAACGGCTCCTGCCAGCTCGAAGTGAGTGCAGGAGGGCTGCAGCGTGAGCCTTCAGCTCTCCCTGTCAGCAGCTGTCTCCTGAGCTCGAGCTGCCTTACAATTGATGTTTTCTTCCTAGAAACCTGCCTCTGGCTATCATCATCTCACTACCTGTAGTCACTTTGGTTTATGTGCTGACAAACTTGGCTTACTTCACAACCCTGTCCACGGAGCAGATGCTGACGTCCGAAGCTGTGGCTGTGGTAGGTGCATTTCTGATGTGACTCATCTGGCTTCCAGGGCTGGTTAAATTGAACTTACAATCTCTGCATACATCTCCTACTTTGTCCCTCATTGACGGTGGCTGCATATAAGATAAATAAATAAGCTGTTGTTTGACGGGAAATAAAGAGCAACTATGACAGAGCAGGGAAGAATAGCATGATACCAGGGGGATTAATCACAGATGGGGGAAGGGGGGTCAGTTAACACTGCTCTTCGTTCAGAAATAGCCCAGGTTGCTGCCCCTGGCCCCATGACTTATCATCAGTTACCGGAACGTGATATTTATGGGAAAAGGTCATTCAGACAATAGTGGACTGAACTGTTCTCTCTCTCTGTATCTTCCTTGTTACAATTAAGAAAGCAAAAAGAATACCTCCATTAATTAAAATGTCACGGAGGTCAGAAATCTGATTGCTTCAGAAATGAGTGGTGTGGCATGACTTTGCAAAACTGTGTGTGACCAGGATTGTTTGGTGCTTTAGGGGGAATCTCCTGACGCAGGATGGTCTGCGTGGGCCATCAGGTGACAGCTCCATCCTTTGGTCAGCACAGAGCTCCAGCCTGCAAGCCACCGTGTGGCAGCAGGGTTGAAACTAGGTGGTCATTATGGTCCTTTTCAATCCAGGCCATTCTATGATCCTATGACTATATGAAACAGCAGCCTGCATTGCGTTACTCTAATTGTGTTCCTTTGCATGTCTGTCAAAGTCGACATGACTTGATGGCGTGGGACTGCAGTGTGAGTGAGTTTGTAATTCAAAGCTACGACTCCACATCACTGTGTTTGTAAGGGGCTGTGTTTCAGTGTCCTCACTCAGCTCCATGCCTGCAATTAGCAACATCTGAAAGGCTGAACCTACTTCCATTTGGCTGCGAGCTTTTGGGTAACCGTTCCAATCAATCTGGCCTCTCAGTTCTCAGGGACAGAGTTAGCTGCTTAGATTTCTGCAAACGTCACAGCTTTGTAGGCAGCCATGAGTTCTCTTGGGCATTTGGATGTGATGTACTGTTCTTGTTGACCCCATTTAGGACTTTGGGAATTATCACCTTGGTGTCATGTCCTGGATCATACCTGTCTTTGTGGGCTTGTCGTGCTTTGGATCCGTTAATGGATCCCTCTTCACCTCTTCCCGGTACGTTTCTTGCTGAGTTTTGTGCTTTGTTTCTTGCTTTGTTTACAAGCAGTGCTCGATGCCTGTGGGTTTGGAACAGTTGTCCTCCCCGGAGCAGCTGTGGGTGGACACAAAATCTGAAGGGTCTGGAGGCCATGTGAGGAATGATAGAAACAAAAATAAAACCATATCTGATTTAAAAAGAGAGCCTGCAGTCATCTGAGTCTTCTGTTCCTCAAGCAAAGTCCTGTTGAAGTTAATTAAAACATAAACAAACAGAGGCTTGGAGCTCATTGGCATTGCCTGAGAAAGTGGGTGTAATGAAAACCAGAAACTTACGAAACTTCAAGGCTGAGAACTCCTCCAGAGCGAGGAGAAAGGATGGGGGCAGGACACGGGCTGAGGAAGCTCAGGTCTGATGCATCTCCCCCAGGTTATCTTAGGAAAGTCACTGAACTGTTTGCTCTGGAAAGGAGGACATAAATACATCTTTCTGGGCCATCCCTATCCAGAAGACAAACCCCAGCCCAGAGCTGAAGGTTGCGGTGCTGATAGCTGCTCTGTGTCCCTCAGGCTGTTCTTCGTTGGATCCCGAGAAGGACACCTACCTTCCATTCTCTCCATGATTCACCCGAGGCTTCTCACTCCTGTGCCATCCCTCGTCTTTACGGTGAGCCCTGGGGTGTGATGGGGAGCATCAGCCTGGTATTGAGAAAAGGGTCGGGGATGGGATCCCAATGAATCATTTGGAGAAGGACTCCAAGTGCAGCCATTTCTGCTTGCTGCTGTGAGAGGGGATAGGTCCTTCTTCTCTTCATATCTTATATTCAGTGGTTTAGCATTAAACGTGGAGGTTGGTGGCCCTGCATGTGGCAGGGAGTTGGAGATTCATGATCCTTGAGGTCCCTTCCAACCATGGCCATTCCGTGATTCTGTGTGATTCTGCGATTCCACTTCTGTTTAGTAATCATTCCAAGCACCATTTGAAAATAGCTTAAATGAGTCAAAAAAATGATCAACCTGATTCTCTTCTTGGCAGACAGCTCTCGCGTTCGTTGCTCTCATACATGAGGTTTTGCCTACCTTTCCCTTTGCTAACGGCTTTGTTTTTTTCTGGATGCAGTGTGTCATGACCCTGCTCTACGCCTTCTCCAATGACATTTTCTCAGTCATCAACTTCTTCAGCTTCTTCAACTGGCTGTGTGTGGCCTTGGCCATCATAGGCATGATGTGGCTGCGTTACAAGAAGCCTGAGCTGGAAAGGCCCATCAAGGTATGAGCAGTGCAGGAACTGTTTCAGGTCTTCCCAGTGCTGGGCTTTTTCATTTGTGATCAGAGAAAACATGGGAAATAGCTCCTTCAAACCTGTCAGAGGCTTCACCTGCTTTTCCTGTATGGAAAAGGGAGTGGAATTGGAAATGTATTGCCACCAGGAGAAAAGGTGTGGAAGCATGAGCTGTGTAGTTAATGCTGGTGTCCCAGATAACATCAAAATCTGCCAAAAGAGTGCACAGAGCAAGGGAGCAAGGGAGAAAACCCTTTGTCCACTGGGTGCACTCGCTATTCAGGAGGTGAGGAGCTGTTGTGACCGTGAGAGCCTGGGGATGAAGGATGCTCTGGGTGGCAGAGATGTGGGGTGGCCCAGCACAGAGCTCTCAGTGACCAGCATGCTCCCCAGGCTGTGGCTCTCAGTGAAACGCTCTGTACCATCGTGGAATTCACTTAAAATGATTTAATAAAGTAGACAAACCCACGCCTGCAGAGATGAGAACTCTGTTCTATTTGTCCTTGGCCAGCTTGGCAGTGCAGCATCCCGGCTGGGAGGAGGCCAAGACCATGTCAGCCACAAGCATGTCTGCCTTCCTTATGGGCATGTTTCTCACTCATCCCCCAGAGCACATTCAGGTCTCTGCCAGGCAACAGGGGGCCAGAGAGAAACAAACTCCCAGACCTGTACTGACGCCTTCCAGTAACTCTTTCTATGGCTTGTGTGCATCTGCTGCTGCATTTGATGCTGTCAGTTCAGATGTTTTTTATAAGGAATCATTCAAGAATGGTTTTCCCTCTTCCCCTGCTATAAGTTCTTACCCATTCTTTGGTCTGTGTTTAGGTGAACATCTGCCTGCCCATTTTCTTCATCCTGGCTTGCTTGTTTCTCATTGCTGTTTCCTTCTGGATGACACCAAAGGAATGCGGGATCGGCTTTGCCATCATCTTCAGCGGGATTCCTTTTTATTTGTTTGGGGTCTGGTGGCAAAACAAGCCCAAGTGGATTCTCCAGGGCATCTGTAAGTATTGCCAGGGCAGAGCAGGGGTGCAGCAGTGGTGAGCATGCTGCAGCTAGCAGCGCTGGCTCTTGTTTGTGCAGTGAGGACTCCCAAAGCCTTGGCTCTGATCGATGCTTTTAGCGCCAACAAGTTTTAGCTTGATGATTGCCTTATCTATCAAGCACCTAAAGTGCACCTTGCCTTGTGATAATTGCAAAATTTGGGCCAATTATCTGTGGTGGAGCGTAACTCAATGAGCACGTTACTGCATTCTGCCCCTTGTAAGAGCACAGGGTCAAGCCTTTGCCAGCAGAGAATACCTCTGGAGTGGTGTTGGGAGGGAAAAGTAATAACAGCTCAGCAGTCTGAGCACAGTTGGCCTAAATTTGACTGCTGTCAGATCAGAATTAGTCCCACTTCATCGCTCAGCCAGCGCTAGCATCTATTCCAGTCAGAGCTCCCTTTGACATCCAAATGTGACAGCAGAGCAAGGGGAGGAGAAAACCCTTTGTCCACTGGATGTTTTCTCTTACGAGGCTTATTTTTAAGGCATCTTTGGGTAAGGTTTTCCAACAGGGTGTATTTTGAAGGGCTGGAAAGGCTGTGCTTGGCACAGGCAACTGCTGTCTGAACAACTGCATCAAGACAGTCAGTCCGTGTTGCCTGAGCACTGAGGTCTCCCATCTGTCTCCCAGCCCTCGTGCAGCAGGCTGACCCAGAAAAGCAGACGTGTAGAAATGCCCAGCCTCAGCTGGGTGCTTTTTATGAAGAAGAAAAAGATGCTTGACGGTGCTCAGCACTCGTAATTCTTTATTTTTAGCTTTTTTTCCCTCACTTTTTTTATTATTCTGAGTATTAGGCTCAGTTCCTGGAAGAGCCGTTATTGCTGTGCCCAGGTGGTAAATTACTGTATTAATTAATTTCCCCTCACCAACAGCTTTTAAGGATAAGACAGAAAATCTCTAGGAACACACAGTGATAATCCTGCAAACGCCCCGTTAGAAACTTAGTGAACTTTAAACGTGTGTATATGAATATACATTGTGAATAATTTGATCACCTCCAACGAATCTGAGTTTGACTCTGCTTGCGTGCTTTTACAGAACTGCTGCTGGTTTTCCTTGGCAAGACTGCTTTGTGGGCATCCAAACAGGGAAGCAGCAGAAAGGTGTGCTTGGATAGCAGCCACCATAATGAATGCTGGGAAAATACCGAGGTCTAAAGAAGGTGCACACATGTACTGCTAAGGTTTTCCAAATTGGAAGGAAGCACTTTGGCCTGTGCCCCTTCCTGCTATTGTGCTTGACTCTGTTTGGACTGCTTACAGCTCTGGCATTCAAATGCAGTTACTGTGTCATCATGCAAGTAGAAACTGGTGCCGAGTGGTTCCAGGGCAGTGCAGCATCCATCTGCAGGAGCAAAGCTCCCACTCTTACGTGCTCGAGTTCTAGGCAGGAGTGGAGAGCAGCCTGTGGTTTGTTTGCTCTCAGGCTTTGCACTGTTCTTGGACTAACCCTGCTCAGAACGGCAGTGGGTTGGCTAGGAGCGTGCTCTGCTTCTTCTGAGACAAAGAGTCGTGAACTGAGACCAAGATAAATATGCCAGGCCCTCTGTATGCAATCTCTTTGACCCGTACTTTGCTTTTTCTCCCCTAGTCCACGCAACAGCCATGTGCCAGAAACTGATGGAGGTGGTTCCGCAAGAATCGTAAGCAGGAAAAGCAGAGACGTTCAGCCTGAGGAAACGCACAATATTGTTTTAAGACGACACGAGGAGAAAAAACACTTCTGACCCTTCATCAACAAAACCTAAGCACTGGAGCACCCCGTCAGAACTTCATGTCTGACACGGTGCCGCCTGCTCTGCCTTGCCTCCTCCAGCCCTCCTGCTGCCGCCTGAGAAGTTCTCGGTACCAACGTGGGCCAGGAAGAGGAATTCCTGCTGGCGACTTCTTGTGCATCCAGTCAGCCTCTGTGCGTGTGAGACTGAGGGCCGTACCTCAGTTCTGTGTGGGTTTAGTAAGACGAGCCATGAGCCTAACCAACCTGCCCTGCCTGGTCAGGGGGTGGATGAGGAGGAAGGGTTGTCTGAGGGCTTAGGCTGATGCTGGCTCTCACGCACGTGCAAGCTCACGTCTAAATCTGTGCTACTGGTGCTTTGTGTTCTGTGCAGGGAGCGCCACTGGTGGTGATGGATAGAGGTGAGACAAGGCAGAGCAGAACTAGTGTCAGAGAAATGAGAATGAGGACTTGGCTGTCTGGTCCCCGGCTGTTGTGTGGTTGTAGCTCTCGGCTCCAAACCGTCTCCTGCTGTTGAGCCAGATCGCTGGGATGCCCTTCTCAAAAATGCCCACCTTGAGCCCCGTTGTGATAGCACTGGGATGGAGCAGGCCCTGTTGCTCCCAGTGAGCTCAGGGAACTGCAGGAGGTCGGTTCCTTGGCTTGCTCACCCTTGTTTTCATGTAGATGTCATCCGACGTGGGGTGAGCCCTGCTTTGCCATGTCCTTGCCCTCGGGGTGATCAGTGCATGCCCCTAAGCCAACTATGAAGATGAAATATGGGTGGGATTCTCCTGGTTTGTTCCCTGGGTTCTGCATGGGAGGTAGGACCAACTGGGTCTGGGGAGTAGGAGGGGGCACACACCCCAAATGGCTGGGGCCTGCTTTAATCCTGGTCTGCTGTTTTGCTGAAGGAAGCCAGGACCGGAGGCTTCTTGAAGAAGTGGCTCATATTGCCTCTGCACTCCAGGTGATAGTCAATTAGAAATCAAATGCATCTTTTCCCCACCAGTAAGCTGCACTTGTCTCTGTAACGATCTTCTTTGTGCTTGTGCTTCAGAAAATGGTTGTTGATTCTTTTTTTCTCTACCATACTTTTGTAAAGTAAGCTGTTTGGAAGCTGGTATCCTCCAAGAGCAATTGCTATCTACTGGATTCTCTCCTCTTAGCTTAGAGTCATTTTGGAGAAGAGGCATTAAGGACACCAATGGTACTACTAGCTCATGCTTTGTCCTTTTAAGAAGCTCTTCAGCAAAAAAAGCATTTAAGCTTCTGTCCCAGCGTGTGTGGCAGTGACCACAGCTATGTCCCACATGTGTCTACGTGCAGCTCCTTGCTACTGCTTTGCCAGGCACGCATCTTTGCTTTAAGGCAGGAGTAGGTGAGACAATCATCACACTGAAACCTCTGTGGCCACGTGCTTATTCCGTGGCAATACAGTGCAGAGATACCCAGCCCAGCTCTGCTATGCTTCACATGTGTCAACACAGAGCTCTGCTCGAGCTGAGTTAACCTATGGAGAATTGCAGCTGGTTGGGGTATGTCTGCAGTGCAGAAGTACCCAAAGTTCTGGCCAGTGCATGGCTGTTCAGGGACCTACGTGCAATGAACTGGAGCATCTCAGAGCCAGCACCCATGGAGAGACATTTGCATAGATAAGGTCATGAGCTATACAAATCCTGAACTCAGTTTCCCCTCTTTGCGAGGAGTCCTCTTCCAGCTGAAGGCTGATGTTTTTGCAGGGTAGCGATGGGAGGTCGCTCCTTATGGCCTGCTTCAAGGGGAAAAACCTGTCTCTCCCCTTCCCCTTTGGTCTTGGCAGTTTTTGGCTGCAGCAGTCTCAGGACTGGTTTCCTGCAGGGCCTGGATTGAACTTAGGGACTCTCAGTGCTAATAATATAAACTAGCAGAATTAAGTCGAGTACTGATTTACAGCAGATTTAACTTGCATCACAAGACCAATCCACAGAGAGCTCAGAAATGGGTCCAAGTCTCCCAGATGTGTGGGGATTGCTTGGTTTGGGCATATCTCTTAATGAGTTTCATCGGTGATGAAGACCATCAACAAACGATATCCTCTTGGTGACCCTTTCACACTGGTTTTACAGAGGAGATGTCACACTGAGATTTATTTTTTTATTAACTGATCTTAATTAAAACCTTAACTCGCTCGCTTGCTTTTTAAGAACGTTGATTATTTTCTACTTGCTGCTAAGGATCTTTCTGTTGTGCTACTAAACCTGCTGCCTCTGGCATTGACATTGCACGTTGTGCGGTGACCTTGTTTCCACAGCAATAGAGGTATAGGGAGAAACCCAACCAGGCACCAGCACAGATTCACACAACTTTTATATTGGACCAGCTCACATCTCAGCCCTCCCAAAGCCTGATTTCTTATATCCCTGGTTCATAGAGGCTGCTCATTCCCCACTGGTAGAGCTTGGTGGCATGGCTGGTAGAGAAGGCTTTTACACTAGAGATCTGGGAGGTGATAAATAAGGAGATAAGACCAAATTTCATTTCAACAAGAAAATGTGACTAAAGCCATTTCTCCAAGGGGTGGAAGCTGTAAGTGGCCGTGGCTCTGTAGTCGTGTCCCTGTGAGCATTACTGTGCAGTGACTGTTGTACAAAGCTGAGCCCTCAGCCCTGCTGCTCTTCATGAAGCTTGGCTGTGAGTTTTTGGAGTCCCAGCATTGTGGGTGTTATGGAACAACATCCCATGGGATTCAGAGGAGGCCACAGCCCATGGCTTTGCTTCAGGTTCCTCTTCCTGAGCACGAACCTGCTCTGGTAAACAAACCATTGTGTTCCAGCAGTCCCATCTGTACACAGCTGAGTTCAAAGGGGCTCCAGTGCTTGCACAAACTTTCAAGACCCGTTGGGTGGAAGCTGGTGCAGAATGGCTTTGTTCTGTGTGCTGAGCACCATGGGAAGAGCTGTGCTGTGCTGCTGGCCCTGCAGGAAGGTTTCCTCTGTCTGCTGCTGCCTGTGCCTTTAGCCATGGCCACAGTGCTCTCAGGCTTTAATAACAATCCAAAAGGAAGCAAACAACTATGTGCTGTCCTTACACAACACGCTGGCTGTCTGGGTGGGACAGCAGCTTGTGCACAGCCTGGTTCCCAAAGACATCCAAAGGGAAGGCACAGAACAGCCAGACCCTGCTGGGATTTTGCCTTTAGAAGCTGCTAAAGCCACACTGCAGCTGGGGAAGGGCAGCCTGAGAGCTGTGCTGAGAGTCAGCACCTCCCCAGAGCCCTGCATTACAGTCCCATGTCTATCCGTGGTGTGGATGGGAGGTGGTCCTGTGATGGTTGATCCCTCAGCCCGGAGCTGCCACAAGGCTGTCCTTTGCTGCTTGCTTCAGAAGCAGCCGCAGCCTCATGGCTGGCTTTGCCCATGAGTGGGAAGTTTCTTCCCAGTTTACACAATCCAAACTGGAACTGGCAACGGGGTGGGGGCTGCACGCTGCTCAGGGTCTGCTGTAGCCCCTGGCATGGCACAGCCCTCCTCCCAGCCGTGGCAGTTGGGTCCCTTGGGTTAGGTCATCCCTAAGGAATCCATGTCCAGAGGATTTTTCTTTGCTTTGAGCTCCTTGCATTACAAGGGGTGATGCTTCCCCCAGCTGCTGAGCGTCAACGAGAAAAGGAAGAAAAAAAATAAATATTTTTTTAAAATACTGAATTAATTCTGAAGTAGCCTAAAAGAGACTTTATATCTACATCGTAACTATTTCCATCGGTGACACCCGTCTCAGTGCAGGCTTCTGGCTGCCACGTGCCATGTGGTCCTGCACAGGGATGGCTTTCACACCCCGAGAGATGTCCCCATTTGTTCAGGGGACAGAGCGGGGCCCGTGTCCCCCCCCAGAGCCCTGCAGAGAGGGACTGTGGTGGGATGTGGGCCCGGTGCTGACCCGTGGAACAATGGTGAGAGTCACTGCTGGAGAATGAGCTGCCTTTTCCGAGCAACCTGTCTTCTCAAGTTCATATTTGTGTCCTTTATTTTTAAGCAGGAAAGAGTTATCTCGACCTCCAGAAAATCTACACACCTGTTTTACCTTTTTTGTTGCATTTGGTTGCTTTGCAAAAGAAAAGAAAGGAAAAAACTTACTAATTTAAATGTTGCTGTAGATGACGTTCTATTTATTTTTAAGGGGTAAATATCTTTTAAGTCTTAATACTTCTACAGTCGATGCTATTTACAGTGTCAGTGTCCCATTGGCACAGCAGTTCAGTGGCTGGCCGAGCTGCTCCGCCAATGGGAACGCCATCAAACTGCCTTGTAAAACAAAATGTCTCCCACCATGTATTTTTTCTAGTATTTCTTGATTCTTTTAAGTCGGTGGTTAACAAACCTGTTCCGTGTTCGGGTTGTTTTATGTTTTGGGTTGTCTGTTGGGTTTTTTTTTTGTTTGTTTTGTCGGTTGTTTTTTAACAAAGAAAGCTGAATTACAACTCTCCCGTTGCTGGTCTTTGCCTCCAACTCTTTTCCTTTCGCATAAGGTTCTGTTGTTGGTCCTGAGGTCCCTCTGCCCTTCCTGCTCTCACGCGCACATCCCTGTGTCTGGTTGGGCCTAATGAAGATGAAGGAATGGGTGATGGGAGGCACACGGAAAGGTGGAGGTGTGAGGAGTGCCACTGTGGGCACCAACTATAGAATCATAGAATCATAGAATCACCAAGGTTGGAAAAGACCTAAAAGATCACCCAGTCCAACCGTTCACCTCTTACCAACAGCTCCCACTAAACCACATCCCTCAACACAACATCCAGTCTTTCCTTGAACACCCCCAGGCTCGGTGACTCCACCACCTCCCTGTGCATCCATTCCAGTGCCTGACCACCCTTTCTGAAAAGTAACACTTCCTCACGTCCAGCCTGAATCTCCCCTGCCATAGCTTGAAAGCATTCCCTGGTCCTATCACTGATGACATGAGAGAAGAGGCCGACCCCCAGCTCACTACAACCTCCCTTCAGGAAGTTATAGAGAGCAATGAGGTCTCCCCTGAGCCTCCTCTTCTCCAGGCTGAACATTCCCAGCTCCTTCAGCCTCTCCTCATATGGCCTGTGTTCCAGACCCCTCATCACCTTTGTTGCCCTATGGGAGAAGATGGGGCTGAGGTTTCTCATTCGACACTCTTGCAGACACCAACAGGGAGAGGTGGGCACAGAATGAAGCTCCAAGCCCAACAGTGCGTGAGGCTGCAGTGCTGCTGCACACATTGATAGGGGATTTATGCACTGCGGCCAGCTGGGTGGGGGTTAACAATTAGTGAGCTCCCAAGAGGCAGCCCCAGCTTCAGGAGTGAGTATTGCATCTGCTGCAGAAAGTAATACTTGGAGAGAGTGGTGGCAGTGCTGCATGGAGCCCTGCAGCCACCTTAGAGCAACCCCAGCTGCTGCAGCAACATTCTGCTTTATAAGAAGTGAAGGAGGAAGTCAGGGTGCAGAAATGAGGGCATTTCAGGGCTGTTGTATGCAACCAGGGGCACTTGCTGCATTAGAGGTGCTCAGTGGAGGTATTAATCTAAGGAAAACATCTCTAAAAGCCAGCGTGGGCAGGGAGCGGAATAGCGTGTGCCACCAGATTTATAAGAGATCACTCACAAAGTGACAGCTGTGGCCAAAGAAGGAAAACAGAAGAGAGAATAAACCCTGATAAGACACAGCAAACATTGCATTCACAGTGCTGCCACCAGCATGAGAACGGGATGGGGCTGGAGCCTGCGGGAAGCTGGCTCTGAACAGGGCTGTGCAGACAGGGAAGGTGGCAGTGGAGAAATGACATGAGTTATTTGTGTTGTGTTCATTACAGTCTTGCTTAGAGACGTTCCCAAGCTGGAGCTTTGCAGGGAGCATGTGCAAAGAGCTGTGGCAGATGAAGCGTGGTGCTTGGAAGCAAAGCTCCAGATCTGAGTTTGGAGACTTGGAAAGATCCTGGTAGGCAGGTCAATGCATGGCCCAGTGGTGACGTCCACGGTGTGGGAGGGGGCACACGGAGTGCTGGGGTGGGCAGAGGGTGCAGGGATGGCCTGGAGCAGTTGTAAGAAGCTGTGATAGGGAATACAGTGAGCAGAGACAGAGAGAAGAGCGTCCTGGGCAGAAAGACAGCCTTGGGATGGGGTAGGAGCTGACAGCTTCTGGTGACCTGTGTGAAATCCACAGTGGGCTGCAGTGAGGGATCTCACATGAAACAAAAAGCAGACTTGCAGTGCTGCTCTGTGGCGTTACTCTGTGCATCCATCCCGAGCACAAAGCTGCCTCACTCACCCCAACACAAAGGCAGGAAGAGGTTTCAGCACACTGTGATGTTCATCACACGATTGTGGGCAGAGGATGTTGGTGAGACCAGAAGTCTGCCCGCACCAGAGTTCAAAAGGAGAGGAGAAAAGGGGCTGTTGTGAAGCACAGCAGTGCTGAGGTCCACGTTCCCAGGGCTGGGAGGGCTGAGTGGGAATGGGGCTGAGCTGAGATGGGAGGAGAAGGCTGGGAACGCAGCCCTGGAGCACATCAGACATGGAGATCAACGTTTTCCCATTTCTCTCCCCAAAACCAAAGTGGTATGGAGATGCTGGGGGGTCTGCCACCGAGGATGGATGAAGCAGCATAGCAGTACCTCTGTGAGCTGGAGGCAAGGCTGGCAGAAAGCATTAACCCAGTCATTTATTTGAAGGTTTGTGTACAAGATGAAAGGTACCAAATAAATGTGTTTGCAGAGGGGAGGAGGCAGCCTGAGGGCAGGGTGTGATGCTCTGGGAGATGTTTCAAGGGCACAAATGGGAAGGAAAGAAAGGAACTGAGGAGGGGTTGTGGCTAAAGCCTCTGAGGGGGGTAAATTAACATAGCAAAATGAGATCCAGGTGTGAAGAAAATTAACAGTACTGGCATTGACCAACTGCCTTGCAGCAAAGTAAAGAGGAGAACAAAATTGTCTTCTTAAAGTTGAAGCAGTGGAAGTTCTGCTTTTTTTTTTTTTTTTTTAACAAAAAGGAGCCACGAGGAGCGGCCTCCATGTCTCCTAATGAAATAGAGGTGTCTCTCAGAAGGTTGGCAGTCTGGGCACTCCTCTGGCCATCCAGCACTGTGCTGTGCTCCTGCTGCTCTGCTTGCACTGTCATCACTCATCGCTTTGTCATCTTTTGGAGCACAGCACCAGCAATGCCAGGGACATGCAGGAGGGGTAGAAACGCACTCGCCAGGGCTCTGATAAGAGCAGATGACTGACTTCTAAGGCTGCTGCTGGAAGAGCTGAAGGTCTTTACCCATGCTCTGTCCATGCGTGGTGCCAGTGCAATGCAAGCTGTGAGCCAGGCATCAGCAAACACCTCCCCAGACTGCTGGAAATGAGGTATTGTCTGTAACAGCACCAGGGCAGCACTCACAGCCTCCAGAGCAGCCAGCGGCATCCTCACCAAAATGAGTAATAAAAATAAAATGTGCAGAGCCTCACACACGCTGTGTGCCATAAGCAAATGGTGCGGACGTGGCAAGGCGCCTGTACAAACCCTGCAAGTGTAACTGCGTGGTGGGAACTCAAACATGTTCTCCACTTGGATGGAGTTCCTGGCGGATCCAGGCAACAATTGCAGGAGCTCCAGAGCTCACAGAGGTTCCTGCTCCACTTGTCTGGAGCAGCAGTGGCCGCTGTGACAAGGAGCTCATCCTTCCTGGCTGGGGGAGCTCATAAATCAGGTCTGGGCATCGCAGGTATTTGGGCTTGTGGTGCAATGAGGTGTGGGGTGAGGTGCTGCTGCACGTCCCGTCTTGAAGTCAGCAGATCAGCTAACACAAAAGGCAATGTCTGGAGGGAGTGCTGTACTTGCAGGCCAGGAGGGACCAAAGCTGCTGTCATAAAGGGCACGCAGAGCTGCTGGGCCTGCAAGGACTCGCAGTGGGGCTGCTGCTGGCCCCTGCTTTCATTAAGCAAAGTCAGCAGACCAACTGCATGTAGGTAATAAACCCAACTGTATGTGCAATCTGAGCTGAGTAAAGCAAGCTGAAGGCATTTGGGGTTGCAACAGCTGCAGCAGGGAGCTATGGGCAGATCAAGGGAGCAAAGCACCGAGGAGCTTGTGTGAGGATCTCAAGGGAACGTGGCAGGGGGACATTGCACCGTGAGACCAGGGACTGGAGGGGGTCCCCATGCTTGTTGTGTCCCAGAACTGCAGCGATGTGGCACTGAGGAATGTGGCTGTGGGCACAGTGGGGTGGGCCTGAGGATCCTAGAAGTGATTCCAACCTGAACAATTCTGTAGTTCTAAGATGTGGCTTCACCACATCTCGTGCTTGGTGCACGCTGGGCTGCTGGCTCCCAATGCCACCATGTCCATCTGTCTGTCTGCAGCTCCCCCCTGCTGAATGGCATTTCACTGTTTGCCAGCATTGTGTCTCCTTACGAAAAAAAGCCCAGATGGACAAAGCTGCTTTCAAAGAGGTGCTGCCTTTCCGTGGTGCAAAGGGTTGGAGCTCTCACATGCTGTGCTCTCTTATGCAGTTGCTGCAAACATCCGTGCTGGCTGCAGGCAGCGTATCACGGGGCAGGAGCTGCGGTGCAGAACAGGGAGGTCTGGGCTGACCAACTGCTAATTGGAGCCTCCTTCCTCAGGTGGGGAGAATAATTGGATGAACACAAAGTGCCAATTCCTAGAAGAGGGCTATTTAAAGCCACACTAATCCAAGTGTGCAGCAGTACCTGTGCGTAATTGGAAATTATCGTCGCTGGTAACATTTTGGTTTCGGAAGGAATATCTGGGGATGGAAAAATCCTTCTGCTGATTGAACAGTCTGGAACCTGAGCGAATCCAGGCAGATGATAAGACCAAAAATCTTGAGAATCATCTTCTATAGGATTTTCTTCTTGCTGCACGGGTCCAGTGCCACCTGGGTCTCTGCACTTGCAGGAATGGAGCCCTTCACCCCAAAGTTTGGAGCTATGGTGGGATCACAAAAGTGGAATTCAGAAGGGGATCTCCTGCAGGAACACAATTTACAAACCTCAGCCACTTCAATGCCTGCTTGCCGTGACCTGTTCCCTGCCCAGACAATGGGGAAATGGGGAAAGGCTTCAACCCAAGAACACTGAGAGAGCAGAGCTCTGTTGATTCATGCAGGGGGTTAGGTGGGGAAGGGTGCTTTCATGTGGTTTTCCTCGCCCTTATTACACAAATTCCAGGCTTTCTTTGGAGCTCGCTCCCTCCACTGCGTGCCACCAGTCCTGGTGTTGATTTGGGGATGCTTGCTCTGACTATCAGCACGAGGGCTGATCTCCTGCCTCTGTGCTCCAAAAAAGAAACCACAGGCACAGGGCAGGCTTCTCTCTTCGCTCCCTGGGGCAGAGTTAGTTTGGAGACTGCTGAACTCCATCCAGGTGCTTGGGAGGAGACAGGGAATTGGAAAGCAAGAAGAAAATTGGCCTGGCACGCAAAAATGGAGCTTAATCCCACATTAGATCAAGGAGCGAAGGTGCGTTGG